TAACCATTTTTCATTTGTTCAGACTCTGCAATAAATATTTTCACTACTTACTATATGCTAAGGACGAAAATATTTTAACCCTTTCAGGGTCGACAGGCCCTCTCCCAGAATTGTTCTCAGGGTCGACAAATTTTCTTATGAAAAGATAGAGAATCTTTTCCTGATCATAATGACACCAAAAGTATGACATTTGATGGAAAACTTACGGAATTATGCTCTCGCGAAGTTAGTGGTCTCGACGATGTTTACTCATCGACGATTTTGCCCACTTTGAGCCCTATTTTCGGCCAATTCCACTGTACTAGTCGACAAAAATCATAACTATTTTGCTAGAACTCCATTTTTTCTATCGAATGAGTACAAGAAACCACCTATTTACCGATTTCAACTATCCAATAAAGTGGTCAGAATTTGGCAGTTTTGCCAATTTCACACAAATTTCAAAAGATGCCAATTTCCAAATAGGGTCCAGAATAAACAAAAAAGACATTCCTGCCACTAAAATAACATTTCCTCTGTTCATTAGTCATGTCCCCACACCCCTCTTACATTCTTTTGCTTTCCACTTTGAATTTTTATTCTCAAAAAATAGAAGATTTACTGTTATGCAGACTACTGCATTAGTGTAGAAATGGTATAAATAATATCAGCGCACTTGTGAAAGAATATTAGACTCACCAACTGACGTGTATTGGACGCGTAGCATGATTTGTTTACTTTTGAACTTTGGCAAAAATCGAAGATTTCTGCTACTTTGAGCTCAATTTCAAGGTACTTTTCATTGTAAAACCAATCAAAATCGTCTCAATTTCTGTAATATGTCTTCCATTCTATAAAATGAGACCAGGAAAACTAGAATACCATCATAAATACCATACAGTGCAAAGTCGCTGTTTTAAACCAAAAACACGGTCAAAGTTTTTTTTTCTCATTACGCACTGTGTGCTGCAGGATTTTTTTTTATACTGCACACACTGACCACATAGACCCATTCTTTCATATGTAAGCCTACCAGCTTTCTCTCACTAGATTTGAGGGGACTAGAATTTAGGCGTACTAGTACGTCAAAAACCCTGGTGCATAAGCCGTAGTAGTACAGTGGTCCCTCGTTTTCCGTAATTAATCCGTTCCTGGAGCCTTTACTCTAAACGAAATTTGCGATTTACGAATCAATTTTCCCCATAAGAAATAATGTAAATACAATTAATCCGTTCCTGACACCCAGAAGTATTAAAACAAAAACATTTTTTACATGAAATGTACATGTAGTGCATAAACAATACAATGGGAAATGATGAATGAAACATTAACAGCATAACACTTACCTTTATTGGAGATTCTTCTTAGTGTATGGGAGACTGGAGGAGGAGAGAGAGTGGATTGTTTATAGTTTGGAAGGGGAATCCCCTTCCAGCAACACCTCAGGTACCAATTGCTTTTCTGGGGTTGCTTGTCTTCTCTGTTTCTTAATGCCACTAGGACCACCTTGAGAGTCATTGGAGTCCTGTCTCGCAAAATAACTGTGGAGAGAACTCTGTTTCTGGCGTCTCTTTAACACTTCCCTAAAATGGCCCAAGACTTTGTCACTGTACATGTTGCCAATATGGCTTGCAACAACCTTGTTAGGGTGATGTTTCTCCATAAAGCTTTCCATCTTACCCCACATAGTAAAAATCTCTTTAATTTCTGAAGAAGGCACCTTCTTCCATCTCTCTTCCTCCTCCTCTGCAGCAAGATTCTGAGCTGCGATGTGTTGCTCTTCCTGCTGAAGCTCTTGCAGCTCTTCAGTGGTGAGCTCTTCGTTGTGGTCTTCCACCAATTCTTCCACATCCTCCAAACTCACATCCAACCCCATGGAACTCCCCAGTGCCACAATTGATTTTACAACAGACATAGGCTCATTAGGGTCAGTCCCAACTCTTCAAAATCCCTCTTGTCGACACAATCTGGCCACAATTTTCTCCAGGCAGAGTTCAAAGTCCTGGTAGTCACTCCCTCCCAAGCCATACCTGTAAGGGTTATGCAATGGAGGATGCTGAAGTGTTCTTTCCAAAATTCCCTTAGGGTCAAGTGAGTGTCTGTGGTCACAGTCAAGCACCTGTGAAACATTGCTTTTGTGTAGAGTTTTTTAAAGTTTGCGATGACCTGCTGGTCCATGGGCTGGAGGAGAGGAGTGGTATTCGGGGGCAAGAACTTTACTGTGATGAACCCAAACTCCTCGAAAATTAGGTCATCCAAGTTTGGAGGATGAGCAGGTGCATTGTCCATTACTAACAGGCACTTGAGATCCAATTTCTTTTCCAGGAGATACTCCTTCACACTAGGGCCAAACACTTCATTGAACCACTCGATGAAAATTTCCCTCGTGACCCATGCCTTACTATTAGATTTCCAAAACACACACAGTTTACTCTTCATAACATTGTTTTTCCTGAACACTCTGGGATTTTCAGAATGGTACACTAGTAATGGCTTCACTTTGAAATCCCACTAGCATTAGCACAGAACATTAGCGTCAGCCTGTCTTTCATAGGCTTGTGTCCTGGCATTGCCTTTTCCTCTTGTGTAATGAAGGTCCTCTTTGGCATTTTCTTCCAAAAGAGGCCTGTTTCATCACAATTGAACACTTGTTCAGGTTTCAGTCCTTCAGCCTCTATGTACTCCTGGAATTCATGCACATATTTTTCAGCCGCCTTGTGGTCCGAACTGGCAGCCTCACCATGCCTTACCACACTGTGTATGCCAGTATGGTTCTTAAATCTCTCAAACCAGCCTTTGCTGGCCTTAAATTCATCCACATCACCACTATTTGCAGGCAATTTCTTTACCAAATCTTCATGCAACTGCCTAGCCTTTTCACAAATAATCGAAGTCATAAGAGTATCTCCTGCTAATTGTTTCTCGTTTATCCACACCAATAATAACTTCTCAACCTCTTCGAGTACTGGTGATCTCATTTTTGTCAGCATAGTTAACCCCTTTGCAACAACAGCGTCCTTGATTTCCTTTTTCTTGGCCACTATGGAATATAAGGTTGTGTAGGGTTTCTTATACATCCTGGACAGTTTGGCCACACTTGTACCACTTTCATATTGTTCAATGATGGTTTTCTTAAATTCAATCGTATTTCTCACCTTCTTTACCACAGGCTTGGCACTAGGAGCTTTCTTTGGAGCCATGGTAGCTTATTTAGTACTTGCAAGCACTAAAATAAATGGAATATTATGAAATATTTCGCTGGAGCACGTGAGGGGACCTTCGCTCACTAGTAAACAATGCCAGACTGGCTGCCGCCACGGCTCACACTGTGGGTACGTGTCCCGGACGAACTATGACTCGCGAGTCAACCTATGAAAAGCAAGTCCATGTTTATACGAGAATACCCCTATGATTGGCAAAAATTTACGGTTGCCGGGAACTACGAAAAGCGGGGGACCACTGTACGTCAGAAACCCAGAAAGCGTTAAAGTAAGTAATGTGTGTGTACTGTATATGCATTTTTGAGGCCTAACTCTATTGCTCACTTAATATATGATAGTGTAAATATGTTATCAGGCTTCTGTATGTGTTTGAAAGTGAAAAAAGGCTATGTTGCACTTAACTTAAAATATGATGCTGGTCTTCCTTACCTTTCACAACTGTTGTACAGAAACTGCAGAAAAGAAATAAAAGCACCGAACATGATGAACAATGGCTCAATTAAAAGCTAATGAAAATGTCAAGCACTAAAAAGAGGGTGATGTATATGCAGGGGCCCTTCTGTACTTCCATGCTGCATTACCAGCAGATACTGTTGTGACATTTTTCTTCATATTTTCCTGGTATTTTTCCTTCATGTGCTCTATTTTATATGTTGGTTACATTGTCATATTTTATGAAAGAACTTTATGTTGTAGCACATACTTCCTCTTCTTTGCTTTTCATTCCAGCAGACTACTGCACTTTTTGTGAAGAAATACTTTCTAGTGTAGTTTCACCACTTTTTTCTTACTTTCATTTATGTCTTCGTCTGCTAAGTTTGATGGTATCAGCATTAGCCTTAAACTGAGTATTGGTATTGGCAAAAATTTTAGTATCTTCCCATCACTAATTGTATATGCTATCGCTTTGACTTATCTTTTCCTCCTGTCTTGTAATGAAGGCATTGTTGAGTGTTTTCAGTCTTTCTTTATAGTTAATACCCTTTGCTCCAGGAGCAATTTTTATAGCATGTCTATCTTGTTTGTTTTAGGTATGGGCACTGCATTACAGTTGTATATTCCGATTTTAAACATACACTCTGGATAGATAAAGCCAGTGTAAGTATGTAATTTAGTGAGTGTACTTGACTCATGAAATCGTAATGATACGATTGCAAACAAACCATACCACGGGCGGGGATAGAACCTGCGATCAGAGTGTCTTAAAACTCCAGACCGTCGCATTAGCCACTGGACCAGCTGGAGATTCGTCTGTAAAAACTTGCATTTGTGGTCACAGTGGTGCCTATGCTAACCTTCCTATGGTGTAGAAATATACCTAGTTGGACAAATCTTATTGTGGCTAGCTGGTCCAGTGGCTATCGCAACGGTCTGGAGTTTTGAGACTCTCTGATTGCGGGTTCTATCCCCGCCCGTAGTATGGTTTGAGTGTACTTGCTGTACTTTACTAAGGGATCATCATGTTTTAAAAAGTTGTAACAATGAGTGTTCATACTTTCTACAGGACAAAAATAAAGCTAACATATACAGATGAACAGATCCAATTAGTTTTAAGTAAGCTAGAACCTGGTTGCATTCTCTGCATAAAACATAATAATAATAAGACAGGCTAAATTTACTCAAGTTCAGCTATACGAGAAGGTGAAGTAATTTTTACATTTAGATTACATAATACGAAGAGGAATAATTTATATGTGAATTGGCTTGCTGTTCTCTCTTCTGTAGAACTAAATGTTAGCTTTAGAATTATGACAAGCAGCAGAAATAAATTTTCTGTTGAGCTACAAAGTATTATTTCAGGTTGCAGGATGCTGCCACTCAGAGGTATCCCCCGTCCACTCAGGCCTTCATCATGGAAATTAGGAAAGCACGAGATGTTGCTATGGCTGACTTGGATAAGGTGAAGAAGGATCGAGATCAGCTTAGGGAGAAACTAAGGGTATGCTTCTTTTATTGTACCCCTTTAATGTAGCTGTTTTGTTTTTTTCAACAAACCGGCTGTATCCCACTAAGACAGGGTGACCTGAAAAGAAAAACGAAAGTTTTTCTTCTTAAATTTTGTATTTTATACAGAAGGGGTTACTAGCCCCTTGGTCCTGGCATTTTAGTTACCTTTTACAACACGCATGGCTTACGGAGGGAGAATTGTGTTCCACTTCCCCATGGAGTTTAATGTGGCTATGTAAATGCAGCAGCGAGGAGATGGTTGGAGGCAGTGATGTCCTGTCTAAGGGCAATGTGTGGTGTAAATGTTATGCAGAAAATTCGGAGTGTGGAAATTAGGAAAAGGTGTGGAGTTAATAAAAGTATTAGTCAGAGGGCAGAAGAGGGGTTGTTGAGGTGGTTTGATCATTTAGAGAGAATGGATCAAAGTAGAATGACATGGAAAGCATATAAATCTATAGGGGAAGGAAGGCGTGGTAGGGGTCGTCCTCGAAAGGGTTGGAGAGAGGGGGTAAAGGAGGTTTTGTGGGCAAGGGGCTTGGACTTCCAGCAAGCGTGCGTGAGCGTGTTAGATAGGAGTGAATGGAGACGAATGGTGCTTGGGACCTGACGATCTGTTGGAGTGTGAGCAGGGTAATATTTAGTGAAGGGATTCAGGGAAACCGGTTATTTTCATATAGTCGGACTTGAGTCCTGGAAATGGGAAGTACAATGCCTGCACTTTAACCCTTTGACTGTCGCAACCCCCAATCCTGAGGTGTCTCCTGGTGTCGCAAAATTTAAAAAAAAAAAAAAAAATTATTTTTTCTTATGAAATGATAGAGAATCTTTTCCCGATTGTAATGACACCAAAAAAAAACGAAATTTGATGGAAAACTGACGGAATTATGCTCTCGCGAAGTTAGCGACCTCGGCGCTGTTTACAAATCAGCGATTTCGCCCACTTTGAGCCCTATTTTGGGCTAATTCCCTTGTTCCAGTCGCCCAAACTCATAGCTATTTCTTTAGAACTCCATTTTTTCTATCGATTGAGTACAAGAAACTGCCCATTTACCGATTTCAACTACCTAATAATGTGGTCAGAAATTTGCAATTTGGCCAATTTCACAAAAACTAAAAAATATGACAATTTCAAAATAAGGTCCAGAATGAACAATGCAGACATTCCTGGCTCTAAAATTACATTTTCTTTGTTCATCAGTCACGTCTCCAGGCCCCTCTGATATTACTCTTGCTTTCTATTTTGAACTTTTATTCTAACAAAAAATAGAAGACTTACTATTATGCAGACTACTGCAATACTGTAATAATTGTATACATAACATCAACCCATTCATGACTGCATATTAGAATGGCTAGTTGGACATTTATTGGACAATGGCATCATTTGTTTACTTTTGAACATTGGCAAAAATCAAACATTTCCCCTACTTTGAGCTCCATTTCTTGGTTCTTTTTATAGTAAAATCAATCAAAATCACTTCTATTTCTATAATATGTTTTCCATCCTATCAAATGAGACCAAGAAAACGAGAATACAACCATAAATACTATACGAAAATAGACCACAAATTCGGCATTTTAATTAAAAAAAAATGGTCAGATTTTTTTTTTCTCATTATGCACTGCGTGCTCCAGGATTTTTTTTATATGGTGCACACTGACCATACAGACCCATTCTTTCACATGTGGGCCTACCAGCTTTCTCCTGCTTGATTTGAAGCCACTAGAATTTATGAGTATATATACGTCAAACACGGTACCTCGTAAGACGTATATATACAGCCGCGACAGTCAAAGGGTTAAAGGAGGGGTTTGGGATATTGGCAGTTTGGAGGGATATGTTGTGTATCTTTATACGTATATGCTTTTAAACTGTTGTATTCTGAGCACCTCTGCAAAAAGAGTGATTATGTGTGAGTGTGGTGAAAGTGTTGAATGATGATGAAAGCATTTTCTTTTTTGGGATTTTCTTTCTTTTTTGGGTCACCCTGCCTCGGTGGGAGACGGCCAACTTGTTGAAAAAAAAATGTAAAGAATTAAAAAAAAAAAATTATATAGTGGGTAAATCATCTTGCTGTTTCTTTAAATTTGTTCACATGTAGTGATGATAACTATTTCTCTTATTTAAAGGGAGTCTGCAGTAGTTCTATTGCTATTTATACTTAGAGGTATTGTACAGTTTGTTATAGGGTGTTTTAAACAGTAGTAATTATTTATTCACAGTTATCATTACTGTGACTGCATCCATTTATTTGACATATAATAAATGCATTAGCACTGTAACGTACTTAGTAAACAGCGCATCGGATCCAAGTCCTTAGAATCGTTTTGTACTTTTGACTACTAACCTCACATATTAGGTATAGATAAATTATTAGATCAATCAGCTTTCAATGTTAGTGTGTCAATGATTTTGTTAATTTCCTGTGTGAGTTGTAATATTTTAGTGAATCTTATAATAAATTTTGCAATGCAATAGGAAGCAACATCCCACCAAATTAGAGAGAAAGCGACCTTAGAGGAAGAGGCATCAAACCTCCGCCGACAAACAGAAGAGGGAGGAAGGACGGTGACAGATCTGCAGCAACGTTTACACTCGCAGGCTGCTCTCATCGCATCTTTGCAAGATCAAGTGCAAAATTTGCAGGATGCTCTCCAGAAAGCTCATGATGAACTAGGTTTGCGGGGCAAACAGTCTGATGAAATAAAGTAAGTTTAAGGCCTATATTCTTATCTGCTTGTGTAATTACCTCTTTGTAATTGTTTACCTATTTGAGTTTCTGGGGATAAGCTCTAGTTCTGGATCCCTCTTAACTTTATAACAAGGTTGACATGATTCAGCCTTGTCATATCTATTTTTGAACCCCTGTATGGAGTTGGCTTCCACTGTGTCATTGACTAACTTATTCCATTTATATACATATCACTCTTACACTGAAGAAATACCTTCTAATGTTCCTCTGGCTCACTTGGATGTGCATTTGGTTGTGTAATTGCCTACCATGCCCTCATTGTCTTCTTGTGTCTTTTGTGAAGACTTTAATATTTGTGTTTGTACAAATTTAAAAGTGAAATCTGAATGTAGTGATTATAGTTTATGTAAAGCTCTAAGCCCATGTGGCTCATACAGCACAGGGAGTGGTGGAGGCTCAGTCCTCCATCCACTAAGCAAGAGACAGACATACTGCCATTTGGTATACAGTGCACTTAATCTGGGTAAAAAATAACTCATAGTGTTACATATTTTTTAACCATTATTCATCTCCCAACAAGGTAGGGTGACCTAAATAAAAGGAAGCACATTCACCTTCATTCATTCAATAGCTCTCTTACTAGAAGTGTGTAGATATTAGAGTTCAGATAGCCATCCAAAGTGCAACATCCACACCTCTCCATCAGAGTTAGCACTGTACTTCCCACCTCCAGGAATCAAGTCTGGCTAAACAGTTTTCCCTGAATCCCTTCATGAATATTACCTTCCTCACACTCCAACAGCTTGTTGAGCCATAAAAATTGCTTATCTATTCTCACTCCGCTCTAACATGCTCAGGCAAGCCTGCTTGATGCTAAAGCATTCAAAACTTATACCCCATCCTTCCAACCCTTCCTGGGATGACCCCTACCCTTCCTTCCTTCCACCCCAGATTTATACACCCTCTTGTTCAGCCTATATATTTTTTTTTTAAACAAGTTAGCCGTCTCCCACTGAGGCAGGGTGACCCAAAAAGAAAGAAAATCCCCAAAAAGAAAATACTTTCATAATCATTCAACACTTAAACCTCACTCACACATAATCACTGTTTTTGCAGAGGTGCTCAGAATACAACAGTTTACAAGTATATACGTATAAAGATATACAACATATCCCTCCAAACTGCCAATATCCAAAAACCCCTCCTTTAAAGTGCAGGCATTGTACTTCCCATTACCAGGACTCAAGTCCGGCTATATAAAGTAACCGGTTTCCCTGAATCCATTCACTAAATATTACCCTGCTCACACTCCAACAACTCACCAGGTCCCAAATACCATTTGTCTGCATTCACTCCTATCTAACACGCTCACACACACTTGCTGGAAGTCCAAGCCCCTCGCCCAAACCTTTCGAGGACGACCCCTACCCCACCTTCCTTCCCCTACAGATTTATACTCTCTCCATGTCATTCTACTTTGATCCATTCTCTCTAAATGACCAAAACACCTCAACAACCCCTCTTCAGCCCTCTGACTAATACTTTTATTAACTCCACACCTTCTCCTAATTTCCACACTCCGAATTTTCTGCATAACATTTACACCACACATTGCCCTTAGACAGGACATCTCCACTGCCTCCAACCACCTCCTCGCTGCAGCATTCACAACCCAAGCTTCACACCCATATAAGAGTGTTGGTACCACTATACTTTCATACATTCCCTTCTTTGCCTCCATAGATAACGTTCTTTGTCTCAACATATACCCTAACGCACCACTCACCTTTTTTCCCTCATCAATTCTAATGATTAACCTCATCCTTCATAATTCCATCCGCTGATATGTCAACTCCCAAATATCTGAAAACATTCGCTTCTTCCATACACCTCTTCCCCAATTTGATATCCAATTTTTCTTTATCTAAATCATTTGATACCCTCATCACCTTACTCTTTTCTATGTTCACTTTCAACTTTCTACCTTAACACACACTCCCAAATTCATCCACTAATCTCTGCAGTTTTGCTTTAGAATCACCCATAAGCACAGTATCATCAGCAAAAAGTAACTGTGTCACTTCCCATTTTGTAATTGATTCCCCATAATTTAATCCCACCCCTCTCCCGAACACCCTAGCATTTACTTCTTTTACAACCCCATCTATAAATATATTAAACAACCATGGTGACATTACACATCCCTGTCTAGGACCTACTTTTACCGGGAAGTAGTCTCCCTTTCTTCTACACACTCTAACCTGAGCCTCACTGTCCTCATAAAAGCTCTTTACAGCATTTAGTAACTTACCACCTATTCCATATACTTGCAGCATCTGCCACATTACTCCCCTATCCACTCTATTATATGCCTTTTCTAAATCCATAAATGCAATAAAAACTTCCCTACCTTTATCTAGATACTGTTCACATATATGTTTCAATGTAAACACCTGATCTACACATCCCCTACCCACTCTAAAACCTCCTTGCTCATCCGCAATCCTACATTCTGTCTTACCTCTAATTTTTTCAATAATAACCCTACCGTACACTTTTCCTGGTCTTCTTTCTTTCAACGTACCAGCTGTATCCCACTGAGGTGGGGTGGCCCATAAGGAAAAACGAAAGTTTCTCCTTTCAAATTTAGTAATATAGTGGTCCCTCAATAATCGTTCGGCCTGAAAGTCATCCATTTCGGAAATAGTCCTGTTATTTCGTCTAAACATTGGCTCGCAAATGGTCCGTTAACTCGCTAATAGTCCTTCGTCCGGGACGCGTACTCACGCTCTGAGCCGCCTGGGCCTTCCCTTCCTAGCCAGTGTGCCATTGTTTACCAGTGAGCAACGGTCCCCTCACTTGCTCCAACGAAATATTTCATAATATTCCATTGATTTTAGTGCTTGCAAGTGCTAAATAAGCTACCATGGCTCCAAAGAAAGCTCCTAGTGCCAAGCCTTTGGTAAAGAAGGTGAGAAATACGATTGAATTTAAGAAAAACATCATTGAACAATATGATAGTGGCATACGTGTGGGCGAACTGGCCAGGATGTATAACAAATCCCGTACAACCATATCTTCCATCATAGCCAAGAAAAAGGAAATGAAGGACACTGTTGTTGCAAAGGGGGTAAATATGCTGACAAAAATGAGATCACCAGTACTTGAAGATGTTGAGAAGTTATTATTGGTGTGGATAAACGAGAAACAATTAGCAGGAGATAGTCTTATGACGTCACTTATTTGTGAAAAGGCTAGGCAGTTGCATGACGATTTGGTAAAGAAATTGCCTGCAACTAGTGGTGTTGTGAGTGAATTTAAGGCCAGCAAAGGCTGGTTTGAGAGATTTAAGAAGCGTACTGGTATACACAGTGTGGTAAGGCATGGTGAGGCTGCCAGTTCTGACAACAAAGCGGCTGAAAAATATGTGCAGGAATTCAAGGAGTACATAGAGACTGAAGGACTGAAACTTGAACAAGTGTTCAATTGTGACAAAACAGGCCTCTTTTGGAAGAAAATGCCAAAGAGGACCTACATTACTCAGGAAGAAAAGGCACTGCCAGGACTCAAGCCTATGAAAGACAGGCTGACGCTAATGTTCTGTGCTAATGCTAGTGGGGATTTTAAAGTGAAGCCGTTACTAGTGTACCATTCTGAAAATCCCAGAGTGTTCAGGAAAAACAATGTTATGAAGAGTAAACTGTGTGTGTTTTGGAAATCTAATAGTAAGGCATGGGTCACAAGGGACATTTTCGTCGAGTGGTTCAATGAAGTGTTTGGCCCTAGTGTGAAGAATTACCTCCTGGAAAAGAAATTGGATCTCAAGTGCCTCCTAGTAATGGACAATGCACCTGCTCATCCTCCAAACTTGGATGACCTAATTCTGAAGGAGTTTGGGTTCATCACAGTAAAGTTCTTGCCCCCGAATACCACTCCTCTCCTCCAGCCCATGGACCAGCAAGTCATTTCAAACTTTAAAAAACTCTACACCAAAGCAATGTTTGAAAGGTGCTTTAATGTGACCTCAGACACTCACTTGACCCTAAGAGATTTTTGGAAAGAACACTTCAGTATTCTCCATTGTGTAAGCCTTATAGGTAAGACTTGGGAGGGAATGACTACCAGGACTTTGAACTCTGCTTGGAGAAAATTGTGGCCAGATTGTGTCCACAAGAGGGATTTTGAAGGGTTTGAGGCAGCCCCTGATGAGCCTATGTCAGTTGTGAACACTATTGTCACACTGGGGAGTTCCATGGGGTTGGATGTGAGTTTGGAGGATGTAGAAGAGTTGGTGGAGGACCACAACGAAGAGCTAACCACTGAGGAGCTGCAAGAGCTTCAGCAGGAAGAGCAACAGATCACAGTTCAGAATCTTGCTGCAGAGGAGGAGGAAGAGAGATGGAAGAAGGTGCCTTCTTCAGAAATTAAGGAGATTTTTGAAATGTGGGGTAGGATGGAAAGATTTATGGAGAAACATCACCCTGAGAAGGATGTTGCAAGCCATATCGGCAACTTGTACAGTGACAGAGTCTTGGCCCATTTTTGGGAAGTTTTAAAGAGACGCCAGGAAGAGAGCTCTGGACAGTTTTTTTGCGAGACAGGACTCCAGTGACTCTCAAGGTGGTCCTAGTGGCATTAAGAAACAGAGAAGAGAAGTAACCCCAGAAAAGCAATTGGTACCTGAGGTGTTGATAGAAGGGGATTCCCCTTCCAAACAGTAAATAATTCAATGTCTCCTTCAGTCTTCCATACACTAATGTTTCATTCATCATGTGCCATTGTATTGTTTATGTACTACATCTATATTTCATGTAAAAAAAATTTTTGTTTTAATACTTCTGGGTGTCAGGAACAGATTAATTGCATTTACATTATTTCTTGTGGGGAAAACTGATTCGAAAATCGTCTATTTTGATAATAGTCCCACTTCCAGGAACGGATTATGGACGATTATTGAGGGACCTCTGTATACAAGAGAAGGGGTTACTAGCCCTTGCTCCTGGCATTTTAGTCACCTCTTACGATACGCATAGCTTATGGAGGAAGAATTCTGTTCCACTTCTCCATGGAGATAAGAGGAAATAAACAAGAACAAGAACTAGAAAGAAAGTAGAAAACCCAGAGGTGTATGTATATATATACTTGTATATGTATGTGTAGTGTGACCTAAGTGTAAGTAGAATAGCAAGATGTACCTGAAATCTTGCAAGTTTATGAGACAGAAAAAAGGACACCAGCATTCCTACCATCATATAAAACAATTACAACTTTTCCTGGTATACTCAGTAAACTAATTCCTCTATAATTTTTACAGTCTCTTTTGTCCCCCTTCCCTTTATATAAAGGGACTATATACGCTCTCTGCCAATCCCTAGGTACCTTCCCCTCTTTCATACATTTTTTTTTTTCAACTAACCGGTTGTATCCCACCAAGGCAGGGTGGCCCAGAAAGAAAAACAAAAGTTTCTCTTTTTTAAATTTAGTATTTTTTACAGGAGAAGGGGTTACTAGCCCCTTGCTCCTGACAGTTTAGTCGCCTCTTACAACACGCATGGCTTACGGAGGAAGAATTCTGTTCCACTTCCCCATGGAGATAAGAGGAAATAAGAATAAGAACTAGAAAGAAAATAGAAGAAAACCCAGAGGGGTGTGTATATATATGCTTGTACATGTATGTGTAGTGTGACCTAGGTGTAAGTAGAAGTAGCAAGATGTACCTGAAATCTTGCAGGTTTATGAGACAAAAAAGGACACCAGCAATCCTACCATCATGTAAAACAGTTAAAACCTTTCCTGGTATACTCAGTAAACTAATTCCTCTGTAATTTTTGCAATTATTTTGTCCCTCTTCCCTTTATATAAAGGGACTATACATGCTCTCTGCCAATCCCTAGGTACCTTCCCCTCTTTCGTACATTTATTAAACAAAAATACGAACCACTCCAACACTTTATCCCCCCTTGCTTTAAACATTTCTGTCATGATCCCGTCAGTTCCAGCTGCTTTACCCCCTTTTATTCTATGTAATGCCTCATGCACCTCCCGCACACTTACATCCTGCTCTTCTTCACTCCTAAAAGATGGTATACCTCCCTGGCCAGTGCATGAAATTACCGCCTTCCTTTCTTCTTAAATGCTCAACCCCCCTCCATCTGTATATTTTTGTATTTAGTTGTTTTTTCAACAAGTTGGCCATCTCCCACCGAGGCAGGGTGACCCAAAAAGAAAGAAAGTCCACAAAAAGAAAATACTTTCATCATCATTCAACACTTTCACCTCACTCACACATAATCATTTTCTTTGCAGATGTGCCCAGATACAACAGTTTAGTAGCATATATAAAGATATATAACATACCCCTCCAAACTGCCGATGTCCTAAACCCCTCCGTTAAAGTGCAGGCATTGTACTTCCCATTTCCAGTACTCGAGTCTGGCTATATAAAAATAATCGGTTTCCCTGAATCCATTCACTAAATATTACCCTGCTCACATTCTTGTTGGCATTTAGTTGTATTTGAGTTAAATGTTTGCTTTTCTTTCAGAAAACTTTTAGATAGGAAGGTAGGTGAGATGGGGGATGCTGAACATCAGCTTGAATTTCGTCTCAATCAGCTATCAGCAGCACAGACTAGAGTGAAAGAACTGGAGGCCGAGCTGTCACGAGTAAATGAAGAACTTGCCGATGCAAGAGCAGAGGGCACAGCCATGAGGACTAGTGTTAGCCGCTTAGATCATGACAAAGATCGTCTCAGTGTAAGTTTCTATTTCATTTGTTTTCACTTATTTTCTCCATACATTAAAGTAAACATTTGAACATTGTTTTTTTTTCAGTAATGCAGTAAAATTTTCAAAATATTCGTTTTTTTTATTATCCATTTGCTATACTAAAGGATACCCTGTAACAAGTTTGAATTATTTAGTGCTTTTTCTTTTCATAGTTAAGATAAATGGCTATTGACTGATTATATGATAAAAAACAAAATGTGGTTTAGGGTACAATGAAGTTACAGCAATTTTTAAAGAGATATGGTCTTTGAAATACATAATGCACCCAAATCTGCAGGCCATTTTCCAAATAAGCATTTCACTCTGGCTAAGCTACTCTCCTGTGTGACTTGTACATGAGACTTGAAAAGTGATTATTTAACTGTGCATTGTTTTAGCAGATTCAGTCCTATATACGTATATTCATAGAACACATTTAAGAATGAGTTCTGTACCACTCTGTTTGACGTTGGTCTCGCTTGACTATATGTGGGTAGTGTCTAGAGTATTCATCTCTTGCTTGATACAGTATCACAATTTTTTTAAATTATAGCTATCAAATGCCGTTAGTGTTAATGAGTTTTTAATAAAATAAGCAAAGATGTCTGAACACTTCTGGCAGGATAGCTGTTGAATGAGTGATGGTGACTATATTTCCTTCTTTGGGTCACCCTTCATTGGTGGAAAATGACTTATGTGTTAAAACATTATTTTTTAAATAGTGAGTGCATTTGTGAATGAAAGTAAGGCTTAGATTATTCTTGAGGGACATAGTAGCCATATTCTTAAGAGGAATACCCCTCATGGGAGATTCCTTGATGCTGGTAAGAGGCTCTTGATCAAGAGAATTGAATCTGTTCTCCCTTCATTAATCAGATATGATTACCTCCCTTTCAAGAGGGCACTATATGACCCTTATATAGTGCCCCTTAGGAGTTTAGTGTATAGTGCCCCTTAGGAGTTTAGTGTTTGCCTCTAAATATACTAATAAGAATTAACTGGAACAGCTCAATGAATGGTTTGTTGAGAAGACACTGCCTTAATCATATGTATTATGCTGTTTCTTTTGTTTCTTCAGAATGAACTGGACACAAAAATTGAACACCTGGCAAACCTGAGAGAAGAACTGCGGAAGAAGGAATCATCAATAGCAATACTGGAAGGCAACATAACAAAGTTGGAAGGCAAACTTGAGTAAGTACTAAATTTGTGTTTAGTTAACAGTGTTCTTGCTGGTGAAGGACTTTATATTCCTCCCCTTCCTTCGATCAGACCTGATTGCTACCTCCCCACCCCTTTTATTCCGATGGTACTGAATGGCTCTTAATAGGTTTAGTACTTCCCCATGATTTTTTTTTTTAACAAGTCAGCCATCTCCTACTGAGGCAGGGTGACCCATAAAGAAAGAAAATCCCCAAAATGAAAATACTTTCATCATCATTCAACACTCTCACCTCACTCATACATAATCACTGTTTTTGCAGAAGTGCCCAGATACAACAGTTTTTTAGAAGCATATACATGTACTATAAAGATATATAACATATCTCTCCAAACTGCCAATACCTCAAATCCCTCCTTTAAAGTGCAGGCATTATACTTCCCATTTCCAGTACTCAAGTCCGGCTATATAAAAATAATCGGTTTCCCTGGATCCCTTCACTAAATATTACCCTGCTCACACTCCAACAGTTCGTCAGGTCACAAATACCATTCGTCTCCATTTGCTTCTAACATGCTCACGCACACTTGCTGGAAGTCCAAGCCCCTCACCCACAAAACCTTTACCCCCTCCCTCTAACTTTTCGAGGACGACCCCTACCCCGCCTTCCTTCCCCTACAGATTTAAATGCTCTCCATGTCATTCTACTTTGATCCATTCTCTCTAAATGACCAAACCACCTCAACAACCCCTCTTCAACCCTCTGACTAATACTTTTATTAACTCCACACCTTCTCCTAATTTCCTCACTCTGAATTTTCTGCATAATATTTACACCACACATTGCCCTTAGACAGGACATCTCCACTGCCTCTAACCGCCTCCTTGCTGCTGCATTCACAACCCAAACTTCACACCCATATAAGAGTGTTGGTACTACTATACTTTCATACATTACCTTCTTTGCCTCCATAGATAACGTTTTTTGTCTCCACATATACCTCAACGCACCACTCACCCTTTTTCTCTTATCAATTCTATGATTAACCTCATCCTTCATAAATCCATCCGCCGACACGTCATCTCCCAAGTATCTGAAAACATTCACTTCTTCCATACTTCTTCTCCCCAATTTGATATCCAATTTTTCTTTATCTAAATCATTTGATACCCTCATCACCTTACTCTTTTCTATGTTCACTTTCAACTTTCTACCTCTTCACACACATTTATTAAGCAAAAATACCAACCACTCCAATACTATATCCCCCCTGCTTTTAACATTTCTGTCATGATCCCATCAGTTCCAGCTGCTTTACCCCCTTTCATTCTATGTAATGCCTCGTGCACCTCCCCCACACTCACATCCGTCTCTTCTTCACTCCTAAAAAATGTTATACCTCCCTGACCAGCGCACAAAATTAGTGCCTCCCTTTCTTCATCGACATTTAAAAGTTCCTCAAAATATTCTCGCCATCTACCCAATACCTCCAGCTCCCCATCTACTAACTCCACTACTCTGTTTTTAACTGACTAATCCATTCGTTCCCTAGGCTTTCTTAACTTGTTTATCTCACTCCAATTTTTTTTTTTATTTTCATCAAAATTTCTTGACAGTGCCTCTCCCACTCTGTCATTCACTTTCCTTTTGCACTCTCTCTCACCACTCTCTTCACCTTTCTTTTACACTCCGTATACTCTGCTCTTCTTATAACACTTCTGCTTTGTAAGAACCTCACATAAACTGCCTTTTTCTCTTTTATCACACCCTTTACTTCATCATTCCACCAATCACTCCTCTTTCCTCCTGCCCCCACCCTCCTATAGCCACAAACTTCTGCCCCACATTCTAATACTGCATTTTTAAAATTATTCCAACCCTCTTCAACCCCCCCACTACTCATACTTGCACTAGCCCACCTTTCTGGCAATAGTTGCTTATATCTCCCCCGAACTTCCCCCTCCCTTAGTTTATACACTTTCACCTCTCTCTTACTTGTTGCCATTTTCCATTTGTCCCATCTACCACTTACTCTAACTGTAGCTACAAGTAAATAGTGATCCGATATATCAGTTACCCCTCTATAAACATCCTGAAGCCTTCCTGTCAATCTTTTATCCACCAATACATATTCTAACAAACTACAGTGGACCCTCGAGTTTCGGCAGCCTCGACTTTAGTGAAATTTGACCTTCGGCGAGTTTTTTTGGGAAAATTTGGCCTTGAGTTTCGTGATTAGACTTGTGCTTCGGCGACTGTCCGATACCCGTCTGCCCATCACCGCGCACACCAGGTTAGTCTCCCACGCCATTCACGCTCAGTGTGCCATTGTTTACCAACACGTGACCATCACCCTGCGGGTTCATACAATACATTTCATAATAATCCATTGTTTTTTGTGTTTGCAACTGCTAAATAAGTCGTCATGGACCCAAGGAAAGCTAGTGCAAGCCCTTTGGTAAATAAAGTGAGGAACACGATCTAGAGGGATTTTGAAGGGTTTGAGCCAGACCCTGTCCCTGCCGACCCTCTGCCTGTTGTGGAAGGTGTTGTGGCATTGGGCAAGTCCATGGGGTTGGAGGTGAGTGACAGGGATGTGGAAGAGTTGGTGGAGGCCCACAGGAAAGAGCTAACCACTGACAAACTGCAAGAGCTTCAATTGGAAAAGCATCAGACCACAGCTGAGGAACTTGCTTCAGAGGAGGAGGAAGAGGAAGAGGGAGTGGATGAGGTGCCTTCTTCAAAGATTAAGGAGATTTGTGCCAAGTGAAATGAGTTGCAAAGTTTTGTTGAAAAGTATCACCCTGACCAAGCTGAAACAAGCCATATCTGCAACATGTACAATGACAGTGTTGTTCCCACTTCAGGAAATTCTTAAAGAAACGCTAGAAAAAGACCTCTCTGGACAGATATTTTGTGCGACAGGGGTCCAGTGACTCTCAAGTTGTTCCCAGTGGCATTAAAACAAGAAGGGAAGTAAACCCATATAAATACTTGCTACCTAAAGTCTTAATGGAAGGAGATTCTCCATCCAAACAATAGTGTACACCTTCCTCCTATCCCCTCCTCCTGTCTTCCATCCACCCAGAAGTCTTCATTAAAGGTAAGTGTAATGTTATTATTATTTTTTATATGCATGTACTTGATTTCTCATTGATTTCAGTATATAAATCTTTATTTAATTTGAAAAAAAATATTTTATTTTAATATTTTTGAGTGTCTGGAACAGATTAATTTTATTTCCATTATTTCTTATGGGGAAAATGGTTTCGTGTTTCGTGAATTTCAACTTTCGGCAGGCTCTCTGGAGCGGATTAATCACGAAACTCGGGGGTCCACTGTACTTTCATTATGTGCTATATCATACCTTGTGTACTTATTATCCTCTTTTTCATAAAATATGTATTACTTATTACCAAACCTCTTTCTACACATAGCTTAATTTAAGGCTCCCCATTTTCATTTACCCTTGGCACCCCAAATTTACCTTCTACTCTCTCCACAACATTTGTACCCACTGTGGCATTGAAATCATCCCCAACCACAAGCACTCTCACACTTGGTTCAAAACTCACCACGCACTCACTCGACATTTCCCAAAATTCTCTCTCCTCCACACTTCTTTCTTCTCCAGGTGGATAAATGCTTACTAAAGCCCATTTTACACACAATCCTTGAGTTTATATTCCCTCTTTTCCTGCCAGAACATCCTTCAACATCATTGCTTCTCCTTCTTTAGCTCTAACTCTATTTGAAACCCCTGACCTAATCCCATTCATTTCTCCCCACTGAAACTCTCCCACCCTCTTCAGCTTTGTTTCACTTAAAGCCGGGACATCCAGCTTCTTCTCATTCATAACATCCACGATCATCTCTTTCTTATCATTCGCATAACAACCACGCACATTCAAACATTCCATTTTGACGGTTGTCTTCTTTTTCTTTTTAGTAGGCTATACAGGAAAAGGGGTTACTAGCTGATTGTTCCTGGCATTTTAGTTGACTTTTACAACACGCATGGCTTATGGAGGAAAGATTCTCATTCCACTTCCCCATGGATATACAAGGAAAAGTAATAAGAACAAGAACTATTAAGATAAAATCAAAGGAAACTCAGGTGAGTGCATATGCATAAATGTGTACATGTATGTGTAGTGTGACCCAAGTGTAAATAAAATATAATTACAATAATTATTGTGGTGGAGTTGTTCAGGTAATAGGACGGAGGAAATTCAGATTTTCATTTTTATTCAGTTTAAAAGATCTTCATTTTAAATGAATCTATTTTCTCAAAGTCTTTTTAAAAGACTGGAAGAAATGTTAATAATTATGTGTAAACATTATCTTTGTCCAATTCCTTTTGTTTTTACAATTCATGACAGAAATAACAATGATTAAAAGGAAATTTCCTAGGTTAATATTCAGCAGTTCTCCAGGGAGGTACATCCTTTCATGTGAGGGATAAAATAATGCATCTAAATGTAGTTTTACTCTTGACAGGATTGCTAATATTGCTAGGGTGTTGGGGAGAGGGGTGGGATTAAATTATGGAGAATCAAATACAAAATGGAAATTGACACAGTTACTTTTTGTTGGTGACACTGTGCTTATGGGAGATTCTAAAGAATAGTTGCAGAGGTTAGTGGACAAGTTTGGGAGAGTGTGTAAAGGTAGAAAGTTGAAAGTGAACATAGAAAAGAGTAAGGTGATGAGGGTATCAAATGATTTAGATAAAAAAAAAATTGGATATCAAATTAGAGAGGAGGAGTATGGAAGAAGTGAATGTTTTCAGATATTTGGGAGTTGACGTGTCAGCGGATGGATGTATGAAGGATGAGGTTAACCATAGAATTGATGAAGGAAAAAAGGTGAGTGGTGCATTGAGGTATATGTGGAGACAAAAAACATTATCTATGGAGGCAAAGAAGGGAATGTTTGAAAGTATAGTGGTACCAACACGCTTATATGAGTGTGAAGATTGGGTTGTAAATGCTGCAGCGAGGAGGTGGTTGGAGTCAGTGGAGATGTCCTGTCTAAGGGCAATGTGTGGTGTAAATATTTTGCAGAGAATTCAGGGTGGAAATTAGAAGGTGTGGAGTTAATAAAAGTATTAGTCAGAGGGCTGAAGAGGGTTTGTTGAGGCGGTTTGGTCATTTAGAGAAACTGGATCAAAGTAGAATGACATGGAGAGCGTATAAATCTGTAGGGGAAGGAAGGCGGGGTAGGGATCGTCCTCGAAAAGGTTGGAGGGAGGGGGTAAAGGAGGTTTTTGGGGGGAGGGGCTTGGACTTCCAGCAAGCATGCGTGAGCGTGTTAGATAGGAGTGAATGGAGACGAATGGTATTTGGGATCTGACAAGCTGTTAGAGTGTGAGCAGGGTAGTATTTAGCGAAGGGATTCAGGGAAACTGGCTATTTTTATATAGCTAGACTTGAGTACTGGAAATGGGAAGTACAATGCCTGCACTTTAAAGGAGGGGTTTGGGATACTGTCAGTTTGGAGGGATGTGTTTTATCTTTATATGTGCTTCTGAACTGTTGTATCTGGGCACCTCTCCAAAAACAGTGATTATGTATGAGTGAGGTGAAAGTGTTGAATGATGATGAAAGTATTTTCTTTTTGGGGATTTTCTTTCCTTTTGGGTCACCCTGCCTAGGTGGGAGACGGCCGACTTTAAAAAAAAAAAATCTCCTTTATAACTCCTATGCTTTAAAGTTCCTAGATTAGTATTTCTTTAGGAATTCAATCAAATGCCTTCTTAAATCTTTATAAATACATTTCAGTTTTGAATTTTCGTGACTATTATACCACAGTAGCATATAGATTGATGTGCAGGAATTTGCTCGTTGAAAACCAAACTGTTTGCAAGTTGGTATCTCTTTGGTCCCTAAGTTGTTTTTTTTTTTACCTTTCTCTAGTAGCTTTTTCCAGTAGTTTCACAAAACACATACATGTATTTACTAATTTCGATTAGAAATCCTAAAAAAATTCTAGAGAGGATAAATTGGTTTGTTTGTACATTCATATTGGTCTGATATACTATTTCATGTAGTTTTATTGCCTTTTTCTTATGTTCCTTGCTGAAACACTGATTTGAGTTTGTTACGATCTTGAAGATTCCGAAACTCAGTCATGATACACAGTTGCTTGTAAATTTTTTGTAAGAACAGTTTGACTGAGTTACTGGAGATTTTAGATTATAGAGTACTTTATGACACTCATATTTGTAAATTGTATGTGGAGTACTGGGCAGTGAGCTGGTGCTCTTGCACATCCTCAGTTCAGTCCTGGTATTCATTGCTTAATTTCTGACTTTCATGATGTGGTAATATTATTTATATTACATCAGTAATTTTGATGGATAATGAAGTGTGTGACTACTTGAGTGTAATAATTATTTTTGTTTTATTACAAATATTACAAACTTGGTATATGAAATACAATAAAAACAAATTACAAAATTTGTAATTCATACTGGTGACTAAAGTAGATTGATGTATAGTGGAATGTCCAGTGTGTTTCTTGGTAGCGTGTTCCCTCTATCACACTCACATTATAGTAACAATATCTTGTAGTCTCTGTTGTGGCAAGAGGAAGCCACAGTCTTGCATTCACTTAAAAATACCTTCATCTTAATTCTGTATATCAATTTCTTACAATTGTATGCCTGATCATCCAGGTTATGATGTCTGTAGGGTTCTAGTGGCTATAGCCTAGTTGACCAAGCAAGTCAACAAAGAAATATAGCCTTATGCCAGGTTACAGGTATTGAGATTAATTTCACAGCAAGAGTTAAATTTTAAGCCCAACCTGATGAACATAATACAAGTACAGTACTCATGTACAGTGGAACCTCAAATATCGAACTGCTCCCAACTTGACCAATTATGTAAGTGTATTTTTTAAGTGCTTTTATAAGTGTATTTTTGAGAGTCTGAAATGAACTAATCTAATTTACATTATTCGTGGTTGGAATAAATTCATTCAGTAACGACGCTCGAACAGCCGTCTGGAATGAAGAAAGTTCGATATTTGAGGTTCCACTGTATTTTGGGTGTAATTATGTTTGGCATGTTAGAGTGTTTATGTTGTGTTCCTTACCAAGGGGATGGAGTGCCTTGTTGCTGGTGAAGGGCTCTTAATCCAAGGGGATTGAGTTATCCTTCCTTTGGAACAAACCTTCTTGCCTCCCATTTCCAAGGCACTGTATGACCTCTACAGGTTTATCACTTCCCCATGAATATCACAACAATACCACGTATTATGTTACAGTAAAGTCTACAAGTTACCTCTCTTGCTGTGAGGCAATGATCGCATGGGTATGACAACTGGTACAAACGTTACCTAAAACATCACACGAGAGATGTACAATAATGAATGTTAGTTTTTCATCCATTATCTGGGCTAGGAACTTTACTAATAAATGTGCAGTACAGAAGCATTTCATATGCTTTGTGTGGGTACAACTACATGATATTTATTTTCTCATCAATTTGCTTTTTTATTTTTTCTCAGTAAATTGCAGGAATTGAATTTCATTACAATCCTTTGCATTTTGTTAAATCTTTTCATATATATATATTAGAGTTGTGTATTATATATACAAAATTTCACAGTAGCAAACCTACATCTTCATAATGAGGTGACAAAATATACTTTTTCATTCGCATTGTATAATATATTCAGTCTTGGAGCCGTCACATTTAAAAAGTTAGACATTAACAAAATGCTTTAAGTTTTTGCTACTAATGCATTATATTGTAGTATACATACAAGAATGTGTTACTCCATTCAGTGCTTTGGTAGCTCAATGATGAAGCACATACACTCGGTGGATGAGTTTATCACAGGTGAGTCTCAGTGGCCGTGGTGATGGCAATGCCCTGTTGGGTAAGAGAGTCCCCTTCCCCCCTCTCTGTGATGATCGCCAACCATCTGATTGGTCAGAAACCAGCGGTGAATGACCAACACGGGTTTAGCACTTCAAGAAATATATTACTTTACAATTGTTTATGTGGATAGACTGTGATACCAGAATTCCATGTTATGTAGCAGCAGTGATTGAACCCCACCAAGGGGTCAGTGAACGCTCACCGTCTGATCGTCCAGTGTAGTAAGTACCATCGGGGCTCCTGGGGTATGTGCCATCCAAGAGACCCCATGTTTCTGTGTCTGCCATGGATCGACCAGATCGACCTGGGTAATACTCCATGTTTTTGTCACTTGTTTCATACATGTCATCCACTGCTCCCAAAGAGTATATGTTGGTTGGCATTGGACGGTCATCCAGCTGTCGCTCACTTCGATGAGTGTTGCCGGATGCCATTTTGAGTTGTGGCTCTGGTTCTGCATTTTGTGAATTTGACGCATTAGAAGTGTCAATAGTTAAAGTTTCATTTAGAGTGCCTAAGGCATAAATATTATCATCACGAGAAGCTGTCACACTGTTGCTTTCATGGTGTTGATGTGGTGTGCTTTCTCTAGAAGAAGCATCCTTAAAGATGAGAGGGTTATCTGGGAATAAGGAGGAGGTTAGTGATGTACAGATAGGGGTTATTGGCCGCCACTTCTTCACTCCCAGTACCTGCCCTGCACTGCATGGTCCTCTAGTTTCTAAGCGATAACAGAGACCATCATGCCATGTGATGAAACCTTTACGCATGTCACATGTACAGAGGACACTGCCTGTTGCTTTATCATAGGACAATATTTGTGAGTGTTGGCACGGGCCACGACTTCCTAGCTCATAACACTGCTCATCTGCAGCCCAGAAGCCCACTAGCTCAGATGTACAACCACACATGCCACGTAGTGGAGATTCTTCATCATAGATAAAAAGTTGGCCCTCGGGACAAGGTGCACGCCATCCTAGTCTAAAACATGAATCTGCAGCAGAATGATAGCGGTGGGTACCAGTGCAAGGGTATACTTGGCATTCTCCAACCATGTTTGTTGAATTATTAGTAGTTGGTGTGAAGAAGTGACCCTTTTCACAAGGTCCCCTTGAGTACAGTCGGTAGCAGTGGCCAGAGAGTGGCCAGAGGCCATGATCTTTGCGGCACTGACACTTGGTACTCATGGCATTGGGTTCGAAGGTTAAAATTTGTCCTGGTAAGCAGGGACCCTGTTGATTCAGTTCATAACAACCATCACTTTCATTGTGGTAATTGGTAATGATAGAGGGGCTGCAGCTGCATTCTGTGGCTCCTTTTGTAGCATTGTAAAGGAAGATTGCACCCTCCAGGCATGGTCCACGCTTAAACAACTCAAAGCACAAACCAGTGAGGGACCAGTAATTGCTGAACATCAGGTTACGCTCACATCCACACTCAGGAAAACCTGCAAGCACACATTTGTTTTAGTCATTTCAAACACATTTTTGTTTAGTTATATTTCTGTATGTAAAAATAAAATCTGGTTGATAGATAACTATAGACCTTTGAGTTTGTTTGCTCTTCTACAGCCAAAATATGTCTGAACATGTGTAAGTACAGTGAAAACATTTATTTGTACAGGTCGGCCATCACTAATCCAGCATCGTTGGGACCTGTAGTGTGCCGGATTAGTGAGTTTGCCGAATTACAGAGTGGCTAGGTTAGAATACACTTAATTAACCTATCAACAGAAACTCTTTCTGCTACATCTTCCTCATTTTCATCACTGCTTTCTCCTCCATTGGCTTGCTGCTGTGGATTTACAACCATCTGGACAATATCTGAGTCAGTATAATGATGAAATTTGAAATTATACTAGCCGAAATTAGTGCTGGATTACTGATGGAACCGGATAACTGATTGCCGGATTAGTGATGGCCGACCTGTACTGTATATTGGATATGTAACAATAAAGTTCTTGTGACAAACATGATAATGTAAAAGAATTGTAAGTGAAATGAGTTTAAAGACCTAGTTTTAGTCTATTAAAACTGCTCTGAATAACCATGGCCTTTATGAGAAAATTTTCAAAATGCTTAATCTTGTAATATGAGAATTGTTTAAAATACTTTTTTTTTTAACACACTGGCCTTTTCCCACAAAGGCAGGGTGACCCAGAAAAGAAGAAATGAAAATGTTTCTTCTTTTTACATTTAGTAATTTATACAGAAGGGGTTACTAACCCCTTGATCCCGGCATTGCAGTTCGCCTCTTATGACATGCATGGTTTATGGAGAAGGGACTCTTCTCCACTTCCGCATGGAGATAAAATACTATTATTATTACCAATACGTACTGATGATACTGTGCTTATGGGAGATTCTAAAGAAAAATTGCAAAGTTTAGTGGATGAGTTTGGGAATGTGTGTAAAGGTAGAAAGTTGAAAGTGAACATAGAAAAGAGTAAGGTGATGAGGGTGTCAAATGATTTAGATAAAGAAAAATTGGATATCAAATTGGGGAGGAGGAGTATGGAAGAAGTGAATGTTTTCAGATACTTGGGAGTTGACGTGTCGGCGGATGGATTTATGAAGGATGAGGTTAATCATAGAATTGATGAGGGAAAAAAGGTGAGTGGTGCGTTGAGGTATATGTGGAGTCAAAAAACGTTATCTATGGAGGCAAAGAAGGGAATGTATGAAAGTATAGTAGTACCAACACTCTTATATGGTGTGAAGCTTGGGTGGTAAATGCAGCAGCGAGGAGACGGTTGGAGGCAGTGGAGATGTCCTGTTTAAGGGCAATGTGTGGTGTAAATATTATGCAGAAAATTCGGAGTGTGGAAATTAGGAGAAGGTGTGGAGTTAATAAAAGTATTAGTCAGAGGGCAGAAGAGGGGTTGTTGAGGTGGTTTGGTCATTTAGAGAGAATGGATCAAAGTAGAATGACATGGAAAGCATATAAATCTATAGGGGAAGGAAGGCGGGGTAGGGGTCGTCCTCGAAAGGGTTGGAGAGAGGGGGTAAAGGAGGTTTTGTGGGTAAGGGGCTTGGACTTCCAGCAAGCGTGCATGAGCGTGTTAGATAGGAGTGAATGGAGACGAATGGTACTTGGGACCTGACGATCTGTTGGAGTGTGAGCAGGGTAATATTTAGTGAAGGGATTCAGGGAAACCGGTTATTTTCATATAGTCGGACTTGAGTCCTGGAAATGGGAAGTACAATGCCTGCACTTTAAAGGAGGGGTTTGGGATATTGGCAGTTTGGAGGGATATGTTGTGTATCTTTATGTGTGTATGCTTCTAGACTGTTGTATTCTGAGCACCTCTGCACAAACAGTGATAATGTGCGAGTGTGGTGAAAGTGTTGAATGATGATGAAAGTATTTTCTTTTTGGGGATTTTCTTTCTTTTTTTTGGGTCACCCTGCCTCGGTGGGAGACGGCCGACTTGTTGAAAAAAAAAAAAAAAAAACGTACTGTTATCTTTATTATTAGTTGAATGTTTTATACCTGTGTTTGGGTTGACATAGATGAGGTATCCTTTGAGGCAGGGGCCACGAGTATGGTACTCATAACAGGTGTTGGTGCGGGGCCAGTACACGTGACGTAAGGGACACTTGAGGAAGTCGTAGCATTGGCCCTTCCTCCCATCCTTGTCTAAATCCAGGTACTGTCTGTCAGTGAGAGGCAACAACACACACACACACACACACACATACACGTTAATAACAAACTTGACTGCGAAATGTAATTTTAGAATAAACACTTGGACAACCGTTTACGGACCAGTTACATGTACATATCTAACTCCAGTTAGGCCAGTTACTTGTATCAACTCTTGTTCATTTACTTTTAAGAAAGTTAAAAGTGTTTAAGGTTAATAGAACAGATCCAGGTTGCTATATAAAAGGTAATTTTGTACGGCAGTACAGTAATTGCATCTTCATGTTTCACTCGACACTTTTGGATAAGGACACAAATGCAGTGTAATGTGATCCTTTACTGACAATGTTTCACCCACACAGTGGGCTTTATCAAGTCACAAACAGAGATCTGTCTGTAACTTGATAAAACCCACTGTGGATGAAACATTGTCAATAAAGGATCGCATTACGTTGTATTTGTGTTTTTATTTATCGTGTTGGTATTTTATACCATTTCCTTCACTTGATACTTTCGCAGACTAGTCCTCATGTTATTATTATAATATGAGAACTAATCTGCAATTATTAGTTATTATCATAACATTAAGCATGATAAATACACATATAACTTGTACATAGGAGAGAGAAACTTATGACAGCATTTCTGTCTGACTTGAACCATTGATAACTCCATACAGTATGACTGTTAATGGTCCAAGTTGGACCAAAACATCATTGTAAGTGTTTTCTATGTGCGGGTTATTTGTGTATTGTTCCGGTCACAGTATAGTGGAACCTCAACTTACGAGTGCCCCAACATATGAGTTTTTCGAGATACAAGCTGTCTCTCGTTTGATTTTTTGCTCTGATTTATGAGCCAAAATCTGAGTTAGGAGCGAGCTTACCCCTAAAGGGAGGTTCCTTGATGCTGGTGAAGGGCTCTTGATCTAGGGAATTGGATCTGTGCTCCAGTTCCCTAAATTAAGCTTGAATACCTTCCATTCCCTCCTCCCCACCCACAGGCGCTGTATCATCATGTGGGTTTAGCGCTTCCCCATTATAATAACTAGCGAGCTTCAGAACACTGCCACTAGTTGGCACAGCAAATGCCACAACATCCCTCAGCAGTGGACGTCTTTATGTCGCCGTGAAAGCATTTCTCTTGTGTTTTGCTTGCTTTTTGTGCAGTTATTTTGCCAAATTTCTTTTTTCTAACTATGGGTCCTAAGAAAGTAAGTGCAAAGGACAGTGGTGAGAAGAAAAGAGGATGATGTCCATGGAATTAAAGCATGAAATCACAAACACAAGCGAGGTGTGCTGATTGTGGACTTGGCCAGGCAGTACAAGCATAGTACTTCTACCATATGTACGATACTAAAGCAGGAGTTGATAAAGGCTATAGCACCAGCCAAGTGAAAAAAAAAAAAAAAACATTGTAGCAGTTAAGTTCAGCTATAAAGTGTAGCAAGCAAGCAATTAAGTGATAAAGGACAAAATGAAAAGAACTCCTCCAATGTTGTTATTGTTGTTTATAGGGCCACTGACAGCATATGCTACTCTGCCTATCTTTTCCACCCTCATCTCCACCAGCATCTCTTCAAGGTAAATACTATATATGTGCATACATTTTATAAAACCAGTTTATTTCTTTACAGTCTCTATTATGTTTTTATACAATATTTATTTATAAATACATTGTTTCAATGTTTTCCTTATGAAACTTGTTTTCCTTATGAAACTATATAGTGATCTAGTGCAGTTAGTCTCACAAACACTCCGTTTTCTCTTATAATGAGAGCATGGGAAGATATGGTCAGAGTGGGAGTGGGAATGGCTGCCATCACTCATCACATAATGACATACTTTATTCATTCTATAGTATATATCATATTTCTATGTTATTTATATTGCTTATTATGTCTTATTAGATCAATTATGATAGATAAATAAGCTGTAGAGTTGATATTAGCATTATCTTGAAGTACAGTGCAACCTCGGCTTAAAAATTTAATCCGTTCCGTGACCTTGCTCGCATCTCGATTTGCTCATTTGATGAGTCAATTTTCCTCATTTAAATTAATTGAAATGGAATTAATCTGTTCCAGCAGAATTCCAGGCACGACAAAATACTTCAATATTTCGCTAATATCAGCTCTACGGCTTATTTATCTATATAAATTCATCTAATATGACATAATAAACAATATTAATAACACAGAAACACTAGAATGAATGAAATATGTCATTACGTATGTGGCTAGTGGTAATGTGCGGCAGTGGCCATTGTTGTTGTTGGGGTGTATAGGGCCACCACAGCGGCCATTCCTGCTTGTGACTACACACCTTCCCCTGCTCTTATTATAACAGAAAATGGAGTGTTTGTCAGGCAAACTACATTAGATCACTATGTAGTTTCATAAGGAAAACAATAATACAGTAATAATAATAATAATAATTGTAGGTAGTAGGTTGGTAGACAACAGCCGCCCAGGGAGGTACTACCGTCCTGCCAAGTGAGCGTAAAATAGAATCCTGTAATTGTTTTACATGATGGTAGGATTGCTGGTGTCTTTTTTCTGTCTCATAAACATGCAAGATTTCAGATACGTCTTGCTGCTACTTCTTACACTTAGGTCACACTACACATACATGTACAAGCATATATATACATACCCCTCCGGGTTTTCTTCTATTTTCTTTCTAGTTCTGTTCTTATCTATTTCCTCTTATCTCCATGGGGAAGTGGAACAGAATTCTTCCTCCGTAAGCCATGCGTGTCGTAAGAGGCGACTAAAATGCCGGGAGCAAGGGGCTAGTAACTCCTTCTCTTGTATATATTACTAAATTTGAAAGGAGAAACTTTCGTTTTTTCTTTTGGGCGACCCCACCTCGGTGGGATATGGCTGGTACGTTGAAAGAAGAATAATGTAATACTACAGCATTTACCCTGGAGATGGAGAAGAGATGCTGGGCACAGCGGTGTATGCTGTCATTTCATTTTGTTTCATCCTTTTTCTATCACATAATCGCTTAATTGCTACACTCTTAATGCTGCACTCTGAGTTATGCAAGCATCATTAAATAGCTCCAATGCACAACCACTTGAAACTTTCTCTGGGTCATACACTCTTAATGCTATGTACACTTAATTCCTACACTCTTAATGATACACTTTGTCACTTAACTGCTACAATTTTTATTTTTATGTTACTTCACTATTCACTGAGTTTTGTTTTTTTCCTCCATGCTTTTCATACTTTCATCTGCAGGGCGTTTCAATAAAAACCTGTCCAAGGAGGTTTCTTTCTTCCTCCCTTTCAGAATGTTTCAGAAATGATTTACACAAGCGTCATTCATAGCTCCAACGCACGACCATTGAAACTTTATCTGGGTGTTTCTTTTCAATAAAGTCTGAAAATCTCTCCCAGATTCCCAACATTTCCTTCATCTCACTTGTAGAGATAAACTCCTCCTCATCTTGTACCTCCACTGTACAAATGTTCTGCAAAATCTCCTGATAGTGCTGCTTATGTAGTTCATCTAACTTCTCTGTCATCAGCTCTTCGGAGTGCTCCTCGATGAGATCGTTCACATCTTCTTCATCTACCTCCATGTCCATGACCTTTCCAAGGGTCACAATCTCATCCACCACTGGCGCTTCGGGTTCGAATCCTTCGAAGTCCCTTTCAGGCCACAGCTTCTTCCATGCAGAAGTGAAAGTCCTCCTTGTAACACCCTGCCAGGCCACATTTATAACTTTGAGACATATCACGATGTTATAGTGGTCCTTCCAGAACTCTCAAAGGGTCAAGTTTGTGTTCTCTGTCATGTCAAAGCAGTAGCAGAACAGTGCTTTGTGAAGAGTGTCTTGAAATTAGAAATCACCTGCTGGTCCATGGGCTGCAGGATAGGGGTGGTGTTGGGTGGAAGGTAGAGAACCTTTATAAACTTGAACTCTTCGATTATGTCATCTGTGATGTTCAGTGGGTGAGCAGGTGCAATGTCCAAGACGAGAAGGGTTTGCAGGGGTAGGTTATTTTCCCGGAGATATTTCTTAACAGTAGGACCAAAGACCAGGTTTACTCACTCCACGAAGAACTGCCTGGTGACCCATGCCTTCGATTTTGCCCTCCACATAACGTCCAGTTTTAATTTTAGAATCTTATGCGACTTAAAGACTCTGGGGTTGTCTGAATGATATAGTACCAGCAGTGGCTTGATCTTACAGTCACCACTCGCATTGGCGCAATGTGCAAAGGTTAACCTATCGTTCATGGGTTTGTGGCTTCGCATCTTCTTCTCTGCAGTTAGATAAGTCCCCCTTGGCATCTTCCAGAAGAGCCCTGTCTCGTCACAAAAGTTTTGACAAAATTCTCAGCTGCCTTCACACCAGAGCTCGCTCCCTCACTATGCCTGACGACAGAGTGAATGCCAGTCCTCCTTTTAAACTTTTCAGACCAGCCCTGACTGGCTTTAAATGATGTTTGCGATGCCTCGTCCGTTGAAGTGCCTGGGGTCTTCTGCAGCAAATCAGCGTAAATGACTGGTGCCTTCTTGCAGATGATACCCTCAGTCACGGTATCTCCTGCGAGCTGCTTCTCCCTCAACCACATTAACAGCAGTTTATCCATCTTTTCATTGACAGAGATCCACTGCCTAGAAATTATTGTAACGCCCTTTGCTGGCGCTATAGCCTTTATAGACTCCTTGTGTCTTAGTACTGTACATGTCATAGAAGTGCTACGCTGGTACTGCCTGGCCAGATCCTTAACCCTCGCACCTTGTCTGTGTTTATCAATGATTTCCTGCTTTAAATCCATGGTAATCATCCTCTTTTTCTTCTCGGCACTATCCTGTGGACTTTCTTAGGACCCATGGTTAGAAACAAGAAATTTCGCAAAATAACTGCACGAAACGTAATGAAAACATGAGAATTCCTTCAACCGCGAGGCAAGCTCCATAAGCACACATGGAGTGCCGAGCTTTGTTTTGATACGCACTGCTGTCTCGTGGTGGCATGCTCAAACTAACTCATTATACATAGTACATGCATATTATTATTATAATTATTATTATAGTATTATGTATTATTATATTATGCGTATTATTATTATTTATTTATTAGTCTGTACGTATTCTTATAAAAATACTCTTGCTTACCATTTTGAATTTTTATTCACACAAAAAATAGACAGTTTACTTTATTATTGTTGGTAGAATTACCGACAATATGTAATGTAAAAGGACTCAAGTGCAACTAATGTGACATTTTATCGTGACAACATTTTGCTCTCCAGGAGCTTTATCAAGCCGTTAAAAACAATACATGGACACAGAGGGTATATATAGGCTCAGAGTGAGTAGTAGTAGTAGTAGTAGTAGTAGCAGTAGTAGTAGTAGCAGTAGTAGTAGCAGTAGTAGTAGTAGCAGTAGTAGTAGTAGCAGTAATAGTAGTAGCAGTAGTAGTAGTAGCAGTAGTAGTAGCAGTAGTAGTAGCAGTAGTAGTAGCAGTAGTAGTAGTAGCAGTAGTAGTAGTAGCAGTAGTAGTAGTAGTAGCAGTAGTAGTAGTAGTAGTAGTAGTAGTAGTAGAACAACAACAACAACAATCAACTTGCACAAGAGTAAAAGGATATGAAAGCTATTACTTGCATAACATAAGAAGAGGTTAGACAAATATTTCTGTTGGTGGTTGGATCTGAGAAGGTCTGTTTCAGTGTTCTTTTTCTGTTGTGTTCTTTTGTAACGGAGACTATGTGATGACAGGGTTTACTGTTTTGAAGAAGATTTTTGCTAATACTTAAGAGATGATGAATCATCATTAATCGCTGTTTCTAACACAATCAAGCAAAATAAAGGCAGCTTCATCATTTCTGAAGTATTAGCAAAAATCCTTCTCAAAACAGTAAACCCTGCCATCACATAGTCTCCGTTACAAAAGAACACAACAGAAAAAGAACACTGAAACAGACCTTCTCAGATCCAACCACCAACAGAAATTTTGTCTAACCTCTTCTTATGTTATGCAAGTAATAGCTTTCATATCCTTTTACTCTTGTGCAAGTTGATTGTTGTTGTTGTTCTACTACTACTACTGCTACTGCTACTGCTACTACTACTACTACTACTACTACTATACTACTACTACTATACTACTACTACTACTATACTACTACTACTACTACTACTACTACTATACTACTACTACTACTACTACTACTACTATACTACTACTAACTATACTACTACTACTATACTACTACTACTATACTACTACTACTATACTACTACTACTATACTACTACTACTATACTACTACTACTATACTACTACTACTATACTACTACTACTATACTACTACTACTATACTACTACTACTATACTACTACTACTATACTATACTACTACTATACTACTACTACTATACTACTACTACTATACTACTACTATACTACTACTACTATACTACTACTACTATACTACTACTACTATACTACTACTACTATACTACTACTACTACTACTACTAACTACTACTACTATACTACTACTATACTACTACTACTACTACTACTACTACTACTATACTACTACTACTATACTACTACTACTACTACTACTACTACTACCACCACCACCACCACCACCACTACCTCCTCTGAGCCTATATATACCCTCTGTGTCCATGTATTGTTTGTAACAGCTTGACAAAGCTCCTGGAGAGCGAAACGTTGCTACAATAAAATGCCACATTAGTTGCACTTGTGTCCTTTTACTTTACAGAAGATTTACTGTTATGAAGACTACTACATTATTGTAATAACTGTATAAATAATGTCAACCCATTCATGACCAGTCAGACAGGTATTGGACAATGACATCATTTGTTTACTCTTCAATATCGCCAAAGAATCGAACTTTTCTGCTAATTTGAGCTCAGTTTCAAGGTACTTTTCATCCTGAAACCAATCAAATTCATATCTACTTCTGTAATGTATCTTTCATTTTGTCAAATGAGACCAAAAAAACGAGAATACAATCATAAAAACCATTCAAAAATATACTGCTAAGGGGCACCTAATGGCTGAGAAGTGAACTCTGTTATTTATGGTCTGATTTCTTTCAAGTTTGGTGTACATTAAGAAGCATCTTTCCATCATACATTGCCCAAGTTTCAATTAGATAGTCTAATAAACAACTGAGATCCAATTCCCTAGATCAAGTGCAAGAGCCCCCTCACCAGCATCAAGGAACCTCCCTTGAGGCCCGCTCACATCTGGAAGCAAAAAATTGACCGAGTGACTGCTCGTATCTTGAAAAACTCGCACGTTGGGGCACTCGTAAGTTGAGGTTCCACTGTATTTTTTCCTGCCTCCCAAGAGCAGGAATTCCACTGGAATGGATTAATGGCATTTCAATTAATTTAAATGAGGAAAATTGATTTGATATATGGGCAAATTGAGTTACGAGCTAGGCCATGGAACAGATTAAACTCATAAGTCAAGGTTCCACTGTATTGTGCTTTTTTATTCTTTCTGCATGATAAATGTCTTTCAGTTGTGGTGATGTGGTATCTTACAGGTATATTGTCATAGATGGTAAGCACAAACAGTTTAAAGTCTTTATTAGACAGGTTATTGCTCTTGTTGTGTACAAAAGATGTAGTTTCATTTACCAAGGAACTGTTGTCCTTTCATTTTTAACCTTTTAATTTACTTTTTAATTTTGTTGTTTGAATGTATGTTACTCTGGGCCTTTTGTCATTTGTGTGACCCAGGAGTATGTGACCCCTTGGTAATTGTGTGACCTGGAAGCACAGGAGTCCTTGCTAATTGCTCTAAGAGTTCAAGTTTGTGTCATCCAGGTGGTACCTGGCTGACACAGGCTCAAGTCCACATGACAAACATGGTTACATAATTTGTAACATTCATGAAAGTATGAAATCATGGTTTGTGTTACCTTGGTGAGCATGGGCCCTGGGAGAACTGTGGATAGCAGAGGCCTGTGCGTGGGTAGAGGAGTGAGCCTCTGGGACACCTGCAGGCACCCTTGCCCAGGCTGGGGTCATAGTAGAACTCCTGAGTCTCTCCACAAGGGCCCTGGAAGATAGAGTAGGCTATAATCACTGATTTCTCTGTATTTAACATGCCTCATATAACCCCTAGCACACAAAAATTGAACACCAAACAGTAAAATTCTCAGAAAATCTGTAAAAAACTGGTTCTTCACATATTAACAGAAATTTTATTTAATTTTAGAGGAAATATGACAAATTCTTTCCAGTGTAAAAAGTAGGAAAATATTGTTGTGGTAGCATTAGAACGCAGTTATATTTCATGAAGTTCTAAACCAGTGTGTGGGCATTAAGAACAAGGAATGGTGGAGGCTTGATCCTTTGTTCATTAATTGCATCTTGCAATCTGACCAGTCAAACTGTTGATGGAGAACCTGGCAGCATGAAGAACAGTGGCTTCATTTAGTGGTGTTCACAGTAACAATACCAATATTAACTGGTATTACTAGTGATCATCTTTCCCTACGGCCCACTCTCAGACTAGGCCTTCTTAATGACTTTTTTGGGCAGTAAGCCTGTTACTGCTCACTGCATGCAGTCATCACAGCTCAGCTGGTCAGGAGTTTAAGAGAGTTATCAAACTTCCTCTTAATTTACTGTTTCTACCTGAGTACACAGTTCTGAGGCCAATTTTTTGGCATAAAAAGTAGAGGACAGATTGGCCTGAAGGGCCAGAATAATGTATCAGATACCGACATGTGTAATATAAGACACGTGTAGTCTTTTTTCGTTAATGGTAGGATATGAGTGGAGCATGTCTTAAGTGCCACTATGCTCATTCTCCCTAGTATATTTCAAAGAGTCATGATTTATTTGTGGCCAGTTAATGTTTGCTGCAGAAACTGAACTTGTTGATTTGTATTGACTTGCTTGTGCCTGGTGGTAATAGTGATGGTAGTGACAGTGACACTAATGCTGAGGGATGCAGTAATAGTAGTGATGATGACAGTAAAAATGAGGAAAGTAACAGTGATGATGAGTGTTGGTGATTGATGAAAACAGTGAGAGAAAGTGATAATGAAGATGGTGTAATGGTAGTGTCAGTGAATGCTTCTTAAAGACTGACCTGTGTTGTTAATGAATACTTGTTAAAGACTGACCTGTGTAAATATTCTGTGACAAGAGTTGTCTCTGGGCCAGTATAGCAGCTGCCAGGACTTCCTGGCACAGGGGTTGAGGGTGGTGTTGACCCAGCGTGGTGGGATCACTGCTCCATCACTGCCCCACCCTCGTCGCCACAACGCCCAAGCCCACACCCATGCCCACACCCACCACCACCACCCATGCCCACCCCTCATCTTCCCACCTCCACGCCCACTCCTTACAACACCATCGTCTTCATGTCTGAGGAAAAAAAATTTTTAGCTTTAGTAATGTGTCTTGTTAAATATGTACAGTATTATTGTTGTGGTGAAACGTCATTATAAATAATACATGAAAAAGGGAATTGTTCATGAAAAGGTTAAAACAAATAATGTGAATAAACACCAGTATGGACCAGGACTCGAACCATGGTCCTAGCAGTAGCAAGCCCAACACTACCACTGCACCATGAAGCTTATAATAGAAAGATTTTTACAAAACACTCATGTGATTTGCTTGTGAGCAGCACCAACAACCCTGCTGTCTCCTCCCACAGCCTGAGTAGTGGCTTTCACGCTACACTACATATATTTTCATGCATCTCTAAACCAGTCTGAGCACTCATCTATTTGCCTGTTTATTCACTGACAGTCATTTATATGGCTTATTTTGAGTTGATGGATGATACGGCTTTGAGGGGTATGCCTCTTGAAGGGAGGCTCCATGGCGTGGTGAAGAGGCTCTTGGTCTGAGGAATTGGTCTCCTTCCTCAGACCGAACCTAATTACCCCCCAATGCCCCCTTCCCTATCCCATTCTCCCCACCCTCCCCACCCTCCCCACCCTCCCTTTTTCCTTTCCTCCTCCTCCTCCCCGTCCCTCCCTTATTCCCTTCCTCTTTTTGGCCTGTGGGGTTCTTCCCACTGGCATGCTGGTGCTGGTTCCTAGGTAGGGGTAAGGGTACCGGGGTCCTTCCCATTCCGTTGAGGTTCTTGGCGGTGGCGTAGTTTGCCGTGAAATCTGGATCGCCTGGGCATGTCCCGATCCCTCTCTGGTATCCTGGGGGGTGGCTTTGGATATCTTTTGGGCGACGGGTGTATCTCTGGAAGCCGCCTTTTGGATTCCAGGGGTGGTGGTCGAAGGAGGTATGCTTTGTGGCAGATATCCGGCTGCCCTCTCTTTTGGCCACCGAGGCAGCTCGGCAGATGTGAGGTTGCTATCCCGGACTGCTGGTTTACTGGCATGAAGGGTAGGGTATGGCACGGGTTCCATGCTGCATCTGCGCTACTTGCGGTGCTGAGGTCCTCTTGGGCACGGAGGGAGATTTCCGGCCCTTTCATTCCTCCTAGGAACTATTCCTCCTCGCTCCCCCCTTTTTTATTCTTTTTTTTTATTTTCCTCTTTTTTTTTTTTCTTAAAAACTAAGAAGTAACCTAACCATAGAGATCCCAATCCATGAACCTACTTTCCCTGGGCCCCTTCTTGATACCGCACCCCATTCTGACCCTGCCTTGTTTTTTGACCACTCTTCGGACACTCCTGATGCCCCTGTACCTCTTGCTGGTGCTGTTTCCTCACTCCTTCGATTTGTCTGACCTCTGCTCTCCTTTGACTGTGCTTCCGGCCTCTCCCTCTACGGTGTGGCAATTTTCGAATCGCCAGCCCGTTCCACGTCGGACCAACTCCGGTCCCACTCCTAAACGCCAACAACAATTACCTGATGATGATACTTCACCACCTTCTCGTTCTTCTCTGAAAAGATCGACACGTCATACACTCCCTTTCCACGCTCAGTTTCAGAATGCACAATGGACTAAATTCTTTACTTTACGACCGACTTCCTCTATTGCCTATCTTTCTCTACCATGTTGGTAGAGATATTTCCTTTCATGCTCTTAAGAGTGGTACGTACATCATCACAGTCCAGAATGCTACCCAAGCTCATGATCTTTCTCTTCTTTCACACATCGATACTATTCCTATCACTATCAAAAAACATCATTCCCTCAATTCTTGTAGTGGTACTGTCATTCTGCCCCATACCATAGTCCAACAGAATTTCCAGACATGTGGCAATGACATTCTTGAACAGCTGGAACTCCAGGATCTCCCAATTCTCAAGGTAGACACTTATGTCCTTCCTGCTCGTGGGCGGAGACGATACCCTTGCAACGTGGCTTGTTTAACTTTTGACAGCCGTGAACTTCCATCCTCTATTTATGTAGCAGGACATTGGTTACAAGTTTGAAAGGTGATCCCTACACTGTAACAGTGTAGAAATTGCTGGCGATTTGGCCATCCAGCGAAATATTGCAGATCTATAGCCGAATACCCAGTCTGTGGTGCCGATGACCATTCTAATACGTCTTGCAGTCGACCTCCCTCTTACTCCCTCTTACTCCCTCGTACTCTCGCCATTGCTAGGTCTACTTAAATGAGCAGGAAATTCGTTGCCTCAAAGAGGCAGAAGGTCTCCCTTATTCTATGGCAGTTTCTCATCTCCGCCTCCAAGGGAGACTACCCCGTGTTTCTTATTCTCATGTTTCAAAACGTCCCCCCACTTCTGGGGTCCCATCTTCTGCAGCCTCTTCTGTGGTTGCCCCTCCCATAGTCACTCCTGTATCTAATTCTTTTGCTGTCCTGGGCTCAGACGTCCTACTTCAACATCTCAGTCTGTTCTCGCTTCTTTGTGTTCTCCCTCACAAGCCCTGGTATCGACAAGACCTCATACGACACCTCCTCCCAGTCGTCCCTCTACTTCTCAGAAGTCCAAAAAATCTCCTTTAACCCCTCCTTCCCTTCTTCCACCTCCTCATTTTACCTTCCCAGTCTCTGTACCTGGGTCTTCCCCTCTCACTGGCTCTGTTACAAGTGTGGAGGTTCACCCTCCTCCTCGTACTGTGCCTTTCTCCCCTGTCCCCTCCCAAGTTTCTTCCTCTTCTGCCACCTCCTAGGTTTCTGCCTCTTCTGTCCCCTCCCACACTTCTTCTCCAGTTCCCTCCACCCTTTTGCTCCCCCCCCACCTTGGTACAGTCCATTACAGTTCCAATCTTTACTCGTCCTCCTCCTTCCATCTCCAATATTGTCTCCCATATGACGTCTTTGAACTCCGAAACACTTGAAGCAATCTCTGAATATATTGCAGAGACCAAACCATCAATGGACACTGATCCATCCTCTGTTCCTTCTCTTTCTTCTCCTTCATCTGTGCAACTCCTTTCTTCACAGCGCACCGTTCCTTGCTGCTTGAACGTTTTCCTCTGCCACCACATGTGGACTTTTCTAACCCCTCAAGTCCGTAGGTACTCTTACCTGCAGATTTCTAGTATCTTTATCGTTGCCAATCATGGCCTATTTACAGTGGAATATACACGGCCTCAGGGGTAATCGGGGTGAGCTTCAAATGTTGCTCTCCCAGTTTTTCCCTGTTGGTGTTTGCTTACAAGAATCAAAATTACACTCTGCTGTTATCTATCCCATCTCAGGCTATAATTTATTGTATTCTTCAAATCCTTTTCCTGATGGGACCTTTAATGAAAGTGCCCTTCTTCTACTCACTGATATTCCGTACCATCAGCTATTTGTTCGTACTTCGCTGCATTACACAGCAGCCCGTATCCACTTGCATAGGTGGTATACACTCTGTTCTTTGTATATCTCTCCTTCTCGGGCATTATCTATCCCAGATATTGCCTTTCTTGTTTCGTCATTACTGCCACCACTTCTGTTACTTGGCGATTTTAATGCCCATCATTTGCTCTGGGGGGTCTCACTGTGATTCCCGTGGCATTCAGTTAGAGGCTTTTCTTGCTTCCCACCCCCTCCATGTTTTAAATACAGGTCCTCACACCCATTTTGATCCTCATACTCGTACTCTCTTTTGCATCGATCTCTCAGTCTGCTCTTCCTCCACCGCACTAGACTTCACCTGGTCTGTTCTCCCGGATTTACATGACAGCGATCATTTTTCAATCATTCTTACTTTCCCTTCATATTCATCACCTCTTCGTAACCCACACTGGCAATTTGATCAGGCAAATTGGAACCTTTACTCACAACTAACTGCTTTTAGTGAGGTTCCTTCTTTGTCCTCCATTGATGAGCTTTTACACCTCTTCTCGTCCTCAGTTTTAACCGCAGCTTCTCATTCTATACCCCAAACCTCGGACAGGCATTCTTTGAAATGCGTGCCTTGGTGGTCTCCTGCTTGTGCTCGTGCAGTACGTTTGAAATGCGCTGCGTGGGGCAGGTACCAGTACAATAGAACCACTGAGAGACTTCTTGATTTTAAGCAGAAGCGTGCGATCGCTCGCCATGTCATCCGTGATGCTAAACGCACTTGCTGGCGAGATTATGTCTCCACTATCACCTCTGCTTCCTCTATGAGTGCAGTGTGGAAAAAGTACGGAAACTGAGTGGTAAATATTCTCCTGGCCCGGCTCCTGTTCTGCGGGTTGTCGGTGTTGATATAGCAAACCCTCTAGATGTTGCCATTGAAATGGGCAGTCATCTGGTCCACATTTCTCTGGGGCTCCATCTCTGCCCCTCGTTTCTTCCCTCAAAGTCTGCAAGAGAGTTAGCACCCTTGGACTTTTCTTCTCTCAGAGAAGAACAGTATAATGTGCCTTTTACACTTCAGGAACTGGAGGCAACACTCTCAGCTTGCTGATCATCGACAGCTGGGCCCGACGACATTCATATTTGTATGTTACGACATTTACATCAGTCAGCCCTTGCAGTCCTCTTATGCCTTTTCAATCTTATTTGGTCACAAGGAGTTCTTCCACAGCTGTGGAAATCTGCCATTGTTCTCCCTTTTCGCAAGCCGGGTACTACGGGACATGAAGCCTCCCACTATCGTCCCATCGCTCTTACCAGTGCAGTTTGCAAAGTGATGGAACGTCTGGTAAATAGATGTTTATTGTGGTATTTAGAGAAACGCAACAGTCTCTCCACTTGTCAATATGGCTTTCGTAAGGGCCGTTCTACCATTAAGTCCTTACTATGCTTGGATACGTATGTTCGTAATGCCTTTGCAAGTAACCACTCAGGTATTGCCATATTTTTTGACCTTGAGAATGCATATGACACAACTTGGAGGTATAATATTTTGGCCCAAGCCCACTCCTTAGGCCTCCGAGGCAATTTACCATCCTTCCTTAAGAACTTTTTAACTGACATTTCCGTGTTCGGGTTAATAATGTGCTCTCCCCAGACTTTATCCAAGCTGAAGGTGTCCCCCAGGGATGTGTTCTGAGCACA